CTGTTGAGTCTGCTGAACGCAGCTAATCATAAAACGGTTGCAAAACTGTTGAGTCTGCTGAACGCAGCCATTCATTACATTCTAGAGAACTTCTAGAGGGGAAAAATTAATGTGTCCACGATGCTAGAAATTGGTCAACATAGTTTCTGATAGGTTGAAATTCTTATTCTCTATTCCCTGTTCCTTTTATTCTGTGCAGCCCATAATACTGGAACGAGCGTTGGCGCTAGTTTCGCGATCTGACAAAGAGGTTTGTTGGCTTTAAGCCTTGTGTCCACGATGCTAGAAATTGGTCCGAGATCTCGGAGAGAGAAAGAATTAACCAATCACATTTAAACAATTTAGTCACATGATCAATGCGATTGGTCAATTCTTTCTTCATCCGAGATCTCGGACCAATTTCTACCATCGTGGACACAAGGCTTTATAGCGAATTCGATTGGACGCACTCAGTGCGCATTGGTGCACATTAAAGCCGTCGTATACAAAATAATGTAAAGATATGTTTATAAATAAACATAGAAATCGATTAAATCGTGAAATACTCAATACATTTTATTGTACTATTAGGTAAAATATGTATTTCATAATTCGAAATATTTGCATTTCATTTTTATACTCAAATTAAATCAATGTACAATGGCTTTAATATGCACCAGTGCTTCCAATCGAATTCGCCATTAAAAGTGAAGATAAATATACAGGGTGTCCCATTTTAATGTCCCACCCAAAATAACTTTTTTATTTTTGATTTTAGAAAAAAATGTTTCAGACAAAAGTTGTATGGCTCGCATCCTATGAATATACGGGCATTGTATCTGAGTATGGATTTTATATATGTTTAAAATATTCTCGTACACACCGATAACGTACTATAAAACTTTTCAATTATACTTCAAAACTTTGTATTCAAAATATAAATGATTCCATACAAAAACTTTATTTAATTTATACGTATGTATGTTAATTGTATAGTGGAAAAGTAATTAATTAATTAATTTTAAAATGATTTGAATATGACTGTCAAACCTTTCTAATTGTACTTCAAAAATCTGCTTTAAGCAAAATACAAACGATTTTACATGGAAATTGTCTAATAGGAAATCATTTCATTTGTGGCTAAGTTTAAAACATAAAAAAAAATTAAACCATGATTATAAAGTTAAATATTAAAAAGTAGAACTAACTAAAAGTAGAAATAAACATTAATCAGTGAGTTAATCGTTGGTTAAATTAATTGGAGTCGTTCTAAAATTTTATTTTTTTTTTCGAGTTGCCAGGACCGTATTTTCACGAATCGCAATATGACAACTGACAACTACGCACAAACATACTCATGTCGCCATTTAATTTTGGATACGTCGGCTGCGAACTACGCGTAGTCCATCAAATTTCCGCACAGTCCTCATAGAAAGCATCGTATCCTCTAAAATGAGCAAGCCAATGAATCTGTTGATCAGTAAATAGCTAATTTCATATCTTACGTTTATTACATTTCTATTTCTTTATGTGATCGATTGCCAAGTGAGACCATACAGGTGATACGGATTCTTACATAACGTATTTATTCGTTTCAGGCGTCGGTTTTAGGAAATGGTGCTACAATATCAGCGGATTTAATCAATTAGGTAATAAACAGGAACGTTTTACATTGTTAATTAGTTAATCACATGAAATCGAGTAAAATTTTTAACCATAATGTAACCTTATTGATATATTTCCTTGTGTGGAGGTTGATATTTTTAACAACTCGTTTTATTGAGCTAGTAGAGACAAACGTTTAATACATTTGAAATGTTATCTGTAGTTGTACTGTAGCTGCTTTCTCATGTATCTATTGTATTGGCTAAATTTTTTTTATAACAAATTTGATCAGTAGTATTCTGACATAACTAGTTAAATATATATATATATATGTAATTTTGTGAAGAAATTGATCCTAAAGAATATGATAATAAACCTGTTCTTTTTAGGAACTTCTTGTATAGTTAATTTTTTTCCTTTTTTCTTTGTACTGAAGAAAAGATGAACTATACACAGTGTTCACCTAAACGGATCTAAAGGGTGTGTTCCAAGTTATGCATAAAGCGCATGATGTATCGTTTTATCCTTCTTTATTATTTGATGAATGACAAGGACAAATGATGCATTATGCGCTTCACGCGTAACTTGGAACGCACCCAATATTCACAAATTATATCAATTGTACAGAAATTATTTGAATATATACTCAGGATTAATTGTAATTTTATTATAAAAATTAATTCATAGGTTTAATGGCGAATGATTTATTGAACGATGCAATCCATTCGGATGTAGCAGAAGCATTGAGACGCCTTCCTCAGGAAATTATAGATCAACGTAATTTCCGTTTAGTGAGAGCCCAACAGTTGAGTGCTTGTCATAGAATCTTGCCCAAAGAACAGTGGACTAAGTACGAAGAGGTCAGTAAATATCAGTTGACTGATCAATATTGCAATTCATCCAAAATTTTCTTAGCTAAAAGAAGAATTTTTTTTTACAGGATGTAGAGTATCTTAGGCCGTATCTCGACGAAGTTCAAAAAGAGATAGAGGAGAAAAAGAGATGGGAAGAGTCATAAAATGTAATTTAGCTTATGGTTACTATAGTAATGGAACAAAGATTCTCCGTTCTTTAATGCACATTTCATGAAGAAGAGCTGGTTTGTACATATTAAGATGAATAGAGATTAAATAAATTAAATTCGTTTGTTCGAAACAGTTGTAAGTATTCACGATGTCGTGTATTGATTATGTTACAACATCCGTTTAATTTCCCAAACGACCATTTCTAAATAATAAATTATGTCAAATAATAATAAGTCAACTTATAATTGTGAAAAAATATCTGTTAAGCCCGTGTCACACTATATATTAAAAATCGATGATTGCAAATTGAAGATTAGAATTCAAGCAATCAGAACAAAACTGATTAAAATTAAAGTCTGATCAAATTCTAATTTCTAATTCACAATCCTCAGTTTCTAGTGCGTTGTGTAACACGAGTTTTAGGAAGAAAAGGCACATGCTGCAATATTGATAAAATATTTACAATGTTATTGTTTAATTATTGTAATGCACATACTTTTCTCTCTAATAGCCAATGTGTTCTAATAGTCAATACAGTATTTGCATTCAGTGCATACTGATGTACATTGCGGCCGTTATACAATTGATGAAGATGTGTGTTTAATGTAATTGATGATAAAGATGTGCGTTTAATATCAATATATATATATATAAACAAGGAAGACCATGGAGTTTCGTCAATAGATTTTACTGTTCTGTTCGGTAAAACTTGTATTTATACTTTTATTTAGATCGGTGTACAATGCTTTTAATATGCATTAGTATGTTCAACCAAATTTGCTATAAATAATAACTTAGTACATTAAAATATTAAATGAGTTGCAGATATAGACGCAAAAATAATTTTCGATCGAAGATACATGACAATTGGAAAGAAATTGTATTTCATTATCGGTTGTTTTCGCGTTCACATGTACATCTGTAATATATTTAATATCTCTTATGTAAGTGTATATTGAATCACTTAGATCATACTAAGTGATAATTGAACGATAATTAAACAGTAATAATAATAACGTCGTTAGTATGTTTTTAAACAGATTAAAATAAAACATGAAACAAGTATATCTAAAATTTAAAAATACTCTGGTATTCATATATTATAAAAATATATTATAAAAGTTGATTTTTTAATTTCTAAGTGGACGTTCCAAAATGCGACTTGAGAAATTAAAAGAATGCAGTGTTTTATCTACTAATTAATTTTGAGCACGAAAAATATTGAAATTTTTTTAAGTCGTATAAAAGTATTTTTTTGGGAAATTTTATTATCACATAAGTTATATTTAAAAGTCACAATGAGGGTGATTTAAGAAAAATATCTCCTTTTTAGGGAATTTTTAGGAAAAAATTTACTGCAGTAAAATTTTTCAAGTTCCTATATTTTGCTATATTTTTATTTTTCAGCATCAAATAATGCATCATATTGTAAAATCATTTCATGCATTTTGCAATTCTGAAATCGATACCTCGAAACGTTAGTGTTAATGCTTTACTCGATTTTTCTCTTAGTATCCATATGAACGAATGTCTTGCATATCAAAAGTTGGAGAAAATGAGAGACTAAACGAAAATGCTCCAACGGAATTCGACCGGATCAGATCGGATGTGCCATTGGGGATCATTCATTGATCGCCATTAAGTTACATCATCTCTCACATACGCGCGGCACGCGTTTCGCGGGCAAATTGTCGGATCAATATCTCACCCCCACGCGGGCCTGAACTGAGCGGTATCGCCGAGAGGAGCGTGCGGCCGCTAAAGTTTCAAGGAAGCCGTCGTGATTGCATCGTCGTCTCGTCAGACGACGGAGAGTGCTGCTGGTGATCCTGTTGGTGATTCCGCTGATCGCTGGCCCTCCTGAACGTCAAGTGTCTCTCTCGAACGCGAGCGAGTTCGTTCCTGCCGGATGAGCCCGCGTGACCAGCAACGTTTCTCCAGCAACGTGCCGAAGAACACGACGCGCGCTGGTCAGCACGAAAAATGATTCGGAGCGTGGTAAATTGAATCATCTTGACATCAAGTCGCTATGAATTTATCAAGCGCGGCCGCTCGCCTTTTTCCCTGAGAAACGCTTCGACCGGTGGAGAGTTCGATCGAGAAATTATGGTCGCGTTGCACCCGGCAACAGTTAGGCCGATAGTTTCCGACGGTTTTTGTAAAAATCGAAGGGGATAATTAATTTGCGATACAATTGTGGCGTCTTTCCCTGGTTTCTGGTCGAAAATCGACTCTGGATGTGCCTATGAATGTTAGGCTTAATGAAGGCAATATGGGGGTTGGAATCCTTGTAAGTTCGATGAATCATGGGAGATTTTTACGAGGGCAACATCCTGAGATTGAGAAGATATTTTATGAATTTAATAGCCTTCCCGAATTTCGAGAATCTTAACGACGCGACTATCGGTTTCCACGTGGCTGTATCGAAGATCGAATTGCGGTGGATGACTCAGGGGTCGCGTTGTTGCATGATGGTTGTCAATTAGACAGCTTCGATCATTTTCATCTGTAGTCTCGCTGTTGTGAAATGCGCTCTCGAGATGATATTTCAGAAATTTTAGAAATATAATGAAATAAATTTTGAATATATAGTATAAATTTTAAATATATTAGAAAAAAGTATCAGAGGACAGCTCAAGAATAGTTTCGTCAGAACCTCATGGCGGTGAGAGGGAAAGGGAGGAAGAAATTAGGAGTATAACGATCGAATACTGCTCGGGGCATGCAATACTGCATAAACTGCATTCAGCCGGTACTACCAGCCGTTCGTACCTTAATTTGGAAGGAAAAATGTCGTAATTCATAAAGGCCTATTGTTCCAAAATCTCAAATGTTCTCAATACCGTGTGAATCGGCCAAATTTCAAATTAATTAGATAACAATTTTTTTTTTGTAATTTTTGTTAAATTCTTTTTCCGTTTTATTTCGAGATGCATGATAATGACTTATTTCTTTATTCTGTTATAGATACGTAATTTTTTTATATCTTATAATGATCTAGGCTGCGTTCCACTTGGCGCTTGCAACGCTGGAATTATTTATCCTTATTTATCAAATGTTAAAACAAATTCGCGAGCATGATAAGCACAAATTCCTAATCTATCAGAAGATACGGAACATACTATTCTTCTAATATTTCATATAACTAACTCATTTTTGTTTGAAGTCATTGAGAAACTTTTTTTTTGTGGTATAAAGTTTTAATGGTAATAAGTTTTAATTTATTTTTTGTTCTTTTTCGAAAAGATATAGAGGAAAAGATAATAATGTGTGAGGCCTTATTGTTAATGTAGCACCATTTAAAGCTCCATTTAAAATTCTGTTATAATTAACACTATTTTTTGCAAAAGGTTTTTAATTTGTGCTTAGATAGGTAAGTTGTGAAACAATTGCCGTCACGACTGACGCAACCTTTTTGTTGACAATTGACATTTATTACGAAGTGTATCAAAGTTTTTTTATGTGTCAAGATTTTCAATGTCAAGTTTAACGAGGTTTGACGTTCGTAAGTAATGAGTTTATACTTTAAATTAGTAAGATATTATTTTTTTATTTTGAATGAGTAAGAGAACTAGAATAATTGTATTTTTTCTGAAACATAACTAAATGTAAATTTTGTCAATGTTTCTATATTGTCTTCTAACAAGTGAGTAACGTGGGATTTTTAATGATAAACATTGCAGAGCATTGTCTTTTTGTTAACATGCAAGACATACACATTACTATCTTTTTCTTTAAAAGAAAAATTGACGATAAAAAAAATTGAAAAACAAATTTTTTTATTATCAAGTTATTAATTCAAAGTATTAAATTTTACAGTTATTAAATTCTAGATTTGAAGTATATATTTCAGGTAAACGCACGAAACCTACTGTGAGGACTGCAATCCCCTAATAAAAATCGTATACAGGGTGTTTCAGAAATAGTTGGTCAAATTTTAAGAGCATATTCTACTCATTGTAAGGATGAAAAAAAGTCATATATATGAGTTCGGAAACGCTTTCTTTCCAAGTTATAAATATTTTTTATTTACTTATATCTATATTTTCATTACAGAAATTGTTGAAAATGATCGTCTTTAAGGAAAGATTTGTTGATAGAGACATTGAGCTCCTCTGCAATTTAGCTCGTTCATACATGTAGATATCTGTCAATTCGATGTTAGAATAAGCTGCTAATGAATACTATCTTCACTCTTAAATGCTTAAATAAAGACTGATTCCAATTCCATACAGACCTATCTAATAACTTTTTGTTTACTTTAGAAGGTGAATAGAAGTACAATTCATGAAACATCGAAGCAAGGCTTGTCGTTGGACGTAAATACGTACAAACAAATAAGAAATGTTTATAATTAGGAAAGGAAGCGTTTCCGAATCCATATTTATATGACTTTTTTCATCCTTACAACGAGTGGAATATGCTCTTAAAGTTTGGCCAACTATTTCTGAAACACCTTTTGTATATCACCTATAATACATCATGCCAGAAATAATCGACGAAATCGTTTTGTATGATTTGCAGATGCGGGAAATACAGCGACCGGCGTATTTCCACACGAGGAAAACGCTGATAGAGGAGCATCAAGAAGACACGAAGATCGCGCGTCACAATCTCGATCTGAGGAAGAGCACGACGATCGTTGCGAGAATAGTCAGCCAGTAACCTTCCTCGTTTCTTCGAGTTATATTAGCTCGATACAGTTGTGCATCAGTCACGTATGATCACGTGTGATGAAATCACAATGTTAGTTAAATCAGGTGCTGCGCCAAAACACTACCTCTGCTACATGTACAAAACTACTGAAGAATTGATCGTATTAGGGCTACAATGAAAAAAAATAGATACATTATTATATTATAAAAGAATTATATATATATATATACATTCATCCAAGTATATATAGAAAGGATATATTCTGATGGATAAGCGTTTACACACAGTATTGATATAAAGTTCTGTATCAGAAAAGACTCTTCCTTGCTACGAGGTCCTTAGTCGATTGACATTATTTGTTATGAAAGCG